AAGCCGGATCTTATAAAAAGACCGGATCTCTTTGTAACGCATAAAGTTGTTAACTGAGTGCAATGGAATTGATAATGAAGAAAACACCAACTTTTCCCGCGAACATATACTTCTGAGCCCGCCTTTTGTAGATTACGTATCTATCCCATAAATACGGATTGCCCAGTATAACCTGACAAACATCCAATGGAACTACATCGCACATGACATCGTCAATATATGACTCGTGAAGTGCAAATCTGAAAGTGCATTAATTAACTACACTCAACTCCATCTCCTTCTGAATCCACCCCAATGGATAGGGCTTTGGATGCTTGACCGTCTTCAGACCCAGCTTCTGAACCAAGGTCTCAAATATCAAATTCTTCTTACTGCCTGGATCAACTATGACATCTACCAAACTGGTCTTCAATTGTAACTTAAGAACAAAGAGCTGCTCTCTGGGGTATTCGTCCTCCTTCGCGGCCTGTTTCCCTGTCATAAGGTTAAGACTGTTGTTGGGCTCCATCATCTCTGGGACTTTTTTTGGACCTTATGCTAGCATGTATGCCTTTTTCTCCTTCTTCTTCTTCTTCAACCCCTTCGGTTTGAGATGAGGATACTTCTCCCAACACCGATCAGCGACATATCTTGTCTTCTCGCAATGACTACAAATCAGTTCTGCTTTTCCTGGATCACCCTTCTTCTTTCCTCCTTAGGTTGGGAACCACTAGACTCGCCTCCATCTTTCTTGACATCCTCATTTGTCTCATTGTCTTTCTTATGCTTGCCCTCAATGACAATAACCTTCACGCTCACCTCTGTAATCGACTCAACCGTGAACAATTTCATCTCCTTTCGAATATATTCGTTCAGACCCGCCATATACTTCATAAAAATAGAGTACTCCTCCGTCGCGATGTTAAGGATCATTGCCTGCTGGTGGAACTCCGTGGTGTATTCTTGAACGGTCTGATTGAACCTTTGTCGCAAGTCGTACCACTTGTATCAACGCTTTTCAAGGAATCCCACCGGGTAAACTGCTTTCTCAGTAGCTCCTTGAACTTGTTCCACGACACCGCTCTCTTCCCCTAATTACAGTAAGATTTCCACCACGTCAATGCTTGTCCGGATAGCTTCAATGTCGCAAAAACAATGTTCTCCTTCGACGAATAGCCATAAAGAGTGAAATAGGTCTCCATACGCTCGATCCAATCATCAAGCCTCTTGACGTCAACACTCCCATCATAAACAAGAATCTTTACTCTGAAATCAATCTTCAGATTCTAGTAAGGACTCTTACCCCCTTGATGTGGAGCAGTCTTGACAGTCTCGACCTCCTCATCGGAATATGAACTTTCACTCTCTCCACCAAACTCTTCGGGTTTCTTCATGGACTTCGAAGAAGATTCGCCCTTTTTGTTCCCTCTATGGATGAGATCAACGAGTTGTGTGAGAGTCGACCCGATTGTTTCGATCTATTTCTCTAACGCATCAAGCCTTGTTGAATTGTCACTTTCTATCATCGTCTTCTTCCTTGATTTCTGGACTTCTTCTAAAGAGACAAGAATCTCACCTAACTTCTTGTATTGTGATCGAGGAAGGACCATACGCAGGATTGCTCATTCACAGGATCTGATTGCTCTGATACCAACTTGATACGAGTCACCGTGAGAGCACATTTGATAGCGGAATTATCAAAGATGGGTTTAAGAAGAAAATAACAAAACACACAAAACAATTCGATGTGGCGAAGAAAAATACCTTCTCTAGATTATGAGAATCAATTGTTACAAATTTCTCCTCACAATCTCTCTAGAATAAAGAACAAACCTCTCTATTCTCAAATCTCACGAATTTCTACTTAGGGAATCCCCAAACTACAGGGTTTTAATATATACAAAACCCTAAAACCCAAAATTAATACGAGTCGACGTGCGAGCACCTTTGATCGAGAAATTATCAAAGATGAGTTTAAGAAGAAAATAACAAAACACACAAAACAATTCGATGTGGCGAAGGAAAATACCTTCTCTAGATTATGAGAATCAATTGTTTACAAATCTCTTCTCACAATCTCTCTAGAATAAAGAACAAACCTCTCTATTCTCAAATCTCACGAATTTCTACTTAGGGAATCCCCAAACAATAGGGTTTTAATATATACAAAACCCTAAAACTCAAACCTGACAGGAACATGGAAATTCGGCCCAAACCACTATCAGTCGATTGATGAATCCATCAGTCGACTGATGCCTCCTATCAGTCGACTGATGAGCTCATCAGTCGACTGATTTGTGATCGATCGACTCAGTAAAAACTTTTTGATAACTGGAGTGGTTTTCGTCAGTCAACTGATCGAACCCATCAGTTGACTAATGGACTGGAAATCTGATTATTTGCCCTCTTCGCTTCGCGTTCCAACTCGCGTTTCGCCGTGTCGCTTCACGCCTCTATTCTCAAGCTACCATGAGAATCATCTATCCTCAAGCTTCCATAAGGATCGCTAAGCTCTTGAAGCAGAGAGAATATACACCCGTATCAACAGTGAAGGCCAATTTGGAGCAGTGAAGGCCAATTTGGAGCCACACAAATCACTTATCTGAATATTGAAACGCTCAAAGACTCCAAGTTACATAACATAGTTCTCCTTGACTATCACATAAATCAGTTTCTTGATGGCATAAACTTATTCTTATATACATAAGAGTTCTGACGTTTGGAATTTTAAGTACAATGCCATTGTAAACAGATTTATGTACCTACAAATTGCTGGCAGTAATAGGGTCGTTCTGCTGCTTAAACATGTTCTTGATTGCTTCTTCTTTCTTGTCGATGAAGTCAAAAAACCTATACACGGCATGCGAACAGCCTGTGCTTGAAACTTCCACAGGATTTCTATGCTGCTTGTTGAATCGAATAAATTGCCTGATTGCTCTGAGAAGAAACAGAAGAAGGGCCAAAATGGCGGCAACTCCACATACCAGAAACAGTCCCCAAAAGCTGCTGAATTGGAGCTGATTAGGATCTAAGCTTGTTGCTGTGTGAGAACTGCAGCTTGTTTGACAAAACCATTTCTTGTGAATCCTCTGGAGTTCTCCATTCTCTGAAAGATTCAGGACAGCGCTTGACAGGTCGAGTGCGAGAGGAGACTCTCTTGGAAATGCCTGATATGATTTTTAATATACAAACAATTGTTGTGTATAAGGGGACTAATACATAGCGAATCATCTATAAGGTATGGATGTTTAACCGTCATAGTTTTAATTATTAGCCTTATGTATCAATTAGGAGAGTAATATGATCCTAGTTAATGGGAGCAAGGAAGACATAGACTTGACAAAGGATATAACACTTAGCTGGATTGAATGGAAGAACATGATTCATGTAACTGACACAAAAATTTGAGAAAGGCTTTGCAATTGGTTTTGTTATGCAAGTAATTTCAAGTTTTCAACGTACGTGCATGTCATGCACCTACAATAACATCTATTAACAAATAGCCGACAAAAAAAAAGGAGGCATGAAGTGAGTAGGTCATATTGTCTGATACCTCCATAAGCTCCTAAACTTCGAAGTTAGGATAACTTAAAGAACTCCCCTAAAGTTCAAAAGGTGATATTCTACCCCTTCATTTTTAATTTCATTTCTAGTAGGGATGCTAAACCATATCCGTATCCGAGAAAATATCTGTAACCGTATCCATATTCAAATCAATAACCGATAGGATATGGTTACAGATATGGTTTTGTAATGAAATATCCGGATCCGTATCCGAAATATTCGAATACATATTAATCATACTGTTATGATAGTTCAAATCCCTGGATTATAGATTTTAGGTTAATTTTGATGATCAAAATGTCTAATTTTAGCTTTTCAGATATAATGAACATATTAATGAACTCTTTTGTATCACATGAACTATATTTTTTCAATACCGTATCTGAGATGGGTAAGCGGATATGGATATGAATATGGTAAGTATCATATCCGCGCCGTATCCAACCGCATGCACCCCAAATTTCTAGTCAAACGGTCATCAATTTTTGGATGTGTAATCAATTTCAATATAGTAATGATATATATGTTTAATATGAGTTCGTATGATAGTCATTTCCTATATAAATTTTATGTCCACGCTAACATCTGTAGAAATTGGAGGGGAGTAAATTATCGTTTTTAAAAGCTTAAGAGGAACTGTTTTGTTGATCACTCA